AACCAGGTTTTGGGCAAATGACTCTTATATCCCAGTTCATACATGGTAGGGCCCCTCTCTAAGTACCGTGGAAGAGTGCTGCATAGTTGTTATCTGATAGTCTCTCAGTGGATACAGTTCTGGGCCTACTATCTGTTACATTATACTTAGCTTTAGGTATATACAGTGGTGTACTGACAAATATTTAACAACAAGTTGTGGGACGGGGGGAGGACATTTATAGCATTTGCTGATCTCCGTGGAATACATACTCCCACCATGTTTCAGTTCAAACCACCAACATGAAGTCACTGAAGGGAGAGTTGGAAAGAAATGTGCACAGTTGGCTCTTGCCACTGAGATCTGGCTCCAGCACACCTCTGGCATGTACACCAATGAACGTGACAAAATCCTTACTTTCGCCCAGCTTTCTAATGGAGGACAGATAATATAACAGGCATTTAGGATCCTTTTTATAAGTGTGCTGGAGAAGTAACCAGAAGGGCTATGAGAAGTTACCAGAGGGACTAAGAGGCCTTGACCCTGTAGAGGCCCAGGACCAGTTCTCGAAGTCCTTCTTAGAAGTAGCTTTTCAAGCACTGAACCCAGAGGATTGAGACTCGGCCAGCTGATACCCTGCTCCTCTTGCAGCACAGACTTACTGTTTTCCCACTACACTCAGCATCTCTGTTGGCCTCATTCCTTATCCTCATAACCATACAATTACGTAAGGATCTCCAGTGGATCATTTGTCCGTCTGAGGAATAGTCCCCAAGATGTGTGAGGACAAAAGTTCTGAGGAGTCCTCTCACTACCCGGTAAACCGTATTTCCCATGGGTGAGGAGAGGAGGTTATTTAGGGTCACAATTTGATCTTAAATCCATGACTTTTGAACTGATGAATTAAAAAACAGTAGGCCAGCTTTGTCCTGAGGAGCACAGTGGAGAGCCCAGCTTTCCAGAGGGCCTTGTTGGCCTCCTGCTGCTGGTCTAGAGGCTGCTGGGCCTGCCTCCCGGGGCTGTTCCCCACATGGCCTGTTTGAATCTGCAGGAGGCTGTCATGTTTCTTTGGTTTTTACTACTGCAAGTCTGTGATCTAGGAATTCCCCCAAAGAACCAGCTGTATACAAAGGTGCATGCTCCCACCAAAGGTATCCATTCACTTCCCTTCCTGCCCTTCATCTGTCCACCCACACCACCCTACTCTCAATCTCAAGCCTTTTTGTCACCAAAGTGATTTTCTTGCTGGTATAAGGTTAGGAAAGACTTGATAGAGGCAGCAGGCGGGCACTTAAATATGTCATGAAAGAAAATAACTCATGTCATTTCCTCCTACAGAGCATCGCAACATGCCCCAGGCAGATGCCATGGTGCTGGTGGCCAGAAATTATGAGCGTTACAAGAATGAGTGCCGGGAGAAGGAACGTGAGGAGATTGCCAGACAGGCAGCCAAGATGGCCGATGAAGCCATCCTGCAGGAAAGAGAGAGAGGAGGCCCTGAGGAGGGAGTGCGCGGGGGCCACCCTCCAGCCATCCAGAGCCTCATCAACCTGCTGGCAGACAACAGGTACCTCACTGCCGAAGAGACTGACAAGATCATCAACTACCTGCGAGAGCGGAAGGAGCGGCTGATGAGGAGCAGCACCGACTCTCTGCCTGGTGAGCTACGTGGCAGGGCCGAGGTGAAGTTCTGACTCTGCATTTCTCTAATCCCCAGGCTCTGTTGGGAGGGTGTCAGGCCCAGGGCTGTTTGGAGTGGGTAAGGGAAATAAGTCCATCCCTTGGGTTCTTCCATGGGCCATCCATTGCTGCTATAATGTTAATAATAACTTTTTATTATTTGGGTACTGAATGCTGATCCCCGTAGTTAATGTGGTGGATTGACTAGTATTGCTGAATCCCTGGTAGCCAGGATGGATGCCCTTTTGTTTTTTAGCAGTTCTCTAGGAGAACTAACCTATTGTTTTCTGTAAATAGCATATATCATGATGTAGCCCCTTGGGAAATTGATGTTATTGTCTGTGTACTATATGATTGATGTGACTCAGTGATTGTTGTTCTTCCTTTGGCTGCTAGGCCTCCTGCCCTTGGGGGGTACTTTGAACCAGATACCTCCCTCTTCTGTCTTCCAGGCCCGATTTCCCGCCAACCACTCGGGGCGACCTCGGGTGCCTCGCTGAAGACACAGCCAAGCTCCCAACCGCTCCAGAGCGGCCAAGTGCTCCCCTCTGCTACACCCACTCCATCTGCACCCCCCACCTCCCAGCAAGAGCTTCAGGCCAAAATCCTCAGCCTCTTCAATAGTGGTACAGTGGCGGCCAATAGCAGCTCTACATCCCCCTCGGTTGCTGCCGGAAACACCCCGAACCAGAATTTTTCCACAGCAGCAAACAGCCAGCCTCAGCAAAGATCACAGGCCTCTGGCAATCAGCCTCCAAGCATTTTGGGACAGGGAGGATCTGCTCAGAACATGGGCCCCAGACCTGGGGCTCCTTCCCAAGGGCTTTTTGGCCAACCTTCCAGTCGCCTGGCACCTGCTAGCAACATGGCTAGCCAGAGGCCTGTGTCTTCCACAGGCATCAACTTTGACAATCCAAGTGTACAGAAGGCTCTGGATACCCTGATCCAAAGTGGCCCTGCTCTCTCCCACCTGGTTAGCCAGACCACAGCACAGATGGGGCAGCCACAGGCCCCCATGGGATCTTACCAGAGGCATTACTGAGGCTAAATCTTTCAACTGTCCCCAGTCCCCTCATCCCCTGGCCTCCCACTTACTGCGTTCTAAATAGAGTTGTTTGGAGGATATTCTTGGCATTCTCCAGGTCTACATTGAGTGTCATCAGTTTCTTCTACCACCTGCTCTCTCTCCTGCCCAAGGCTGTGTTGCTTATTCCTTACCAAGTTTATGCTGCATTTGGGGCTGTATTCTGATTTGTTTTTTGGATTTTTGTAGAAAATAGGTATCTCCGGAGTCACTTGGGCAGTACAGGTGTCTGGGCTTATATCTGATGGGATTTCTCCAGTCCCTCTGTCTACTGGTTTCGGAGCCAGGCCCAGCTGGCGACATTTGGAATGGCATTTGTCATGTCAGTAGCCACCACCTTTGTTCATTGTGAACCTACCAAGACTTTCAAGCTTCAAACATGTCGACCAGAGCTCAAGCTCCTGCCTGCAACTCCTGCCTAGAGTTAAAGAAAAGTCGACTGGCCTTGGCAGGCACAGTGTCATCATACCCCAACCCCACGTTTGGGATCTGCTCGAAGATTCATAAATCAGCTACTCTGGATTGTTGAGGAATGGCCATGGCAGCTACAGAAGAATTTTTCTGTCTGAGCCAAGGTTGCTTTTTTGTTTTTTTCTCTTTTATTTTTTGTTTTCATTTCATTGGAAGATCTCCAATGGACTGAACAGCTCCAGTCAGCAGCAGTTTAATACAAACTGTGAATCTGGGCCCCACCACTCTTCCCCCTTACCAGTTCTGTCAGCATCCCCCTCCAGCGGCACTTGCATGGAGTCAATTCTGAGACTCTGGCCATGAACACTCATTTCTTCAATGATTTGTTTTGAGCTTTTGGCTCAAAACTCCAGGCTCTTATTTTTGTCTAGACTCTTGTTCCGTTTCCTGAGCAGTAGGAGGTAGGGACCACTTTGATGTCAGATTTCTGGTAGCTGGACATGTTCTTGAGATAGGTGGCTGTTCATGACTTTTGTACCAGAGTGAAATTGTTAGAGGGAGGGCTTCTGGCTGTGGTTCTAAGTGGAGCCGCAGAAAGCTGCCCTCTCCCCAGGGATTGTACCCAGCAGATCCCTGTGGATCATGGTCTCGAGATCCTCTAGCAGGGGAGAGGGAGAGCAGTGACCAGCTGAGTCCCTGACAGTGGCAGAGAAAACAATGGTTTCAAAATTCAAGGTCCCCAAATAGCAGCATTTTATGTTCTGACCTGTTTGTGTTATATAGTGTTTTTTTTTTTTTTTTTCTCTTTGGAACTCTTGTGTTGTTAATAAAATGAAATGATTACTTTTTGATTAAAATGCAAAAAGTAAAAGCTGTGTTTATCTTTCTTGGGTGTGAATATCCTCTTTGCAGAACACTCCCCGAGTCAGAGGTGAGGGCTCCTGTGTCGAGGACTCTGGTCTGCCCCTTCTTGTCCTCAGCATGTGATCCGGCCTCAAACCTCTTAGAACCCTGCCTTCTCTGCATAGGTGGCTCACCTAGTTAGAGGCTTTAATAACAGTTCAGCGCAAAAGCCTACTGGCTAATTATAGTGCTGTGTTCAACATCCTGCTTCTGGCAGACATTCTTTGTGTCAGCAGCCTTGTCCTCTTATTCTAGAAAAGGAAAACAGGAATGTGAGGAGGCCATTTGTGGTTGGTGGCCTCTGGTAGAGAGGCACTTCCTGTTTTCATTTTGTCTCAGTTGCCACCCTCTGTTCAACCCATTGTACAGGGAGTTGGCAGAATCCATAGAACCCGAAGGAGCCTTGAAGAACATTGAATAACTTGGGGTGGGTGTGGTGAAGTGGGTGGCACAGGCCTCCCATGGGTTAGGCATCAACGTGCTGAGAGAACAGCCTGAACAGTGTTGAGTGCTCACTGCCTTAAGGGGGTATCACTGCAGCCTGACACCTATACTTAGAAAGTGCTCACTACCTCCTGGAAGATGTCAGTGCAGCCTGACACCTAGTAAGTGCCTACCAGTCTTAGGAGATGATGTTAGTGCTGCTCTCCAAGCCAGGGCCCCAAAGCTAGCGGTATGTAAATTAGATCAGCAGACCTGGGGCATTAGCCCATCTCTTCCGTCAGTGGAGGTCGGTGTTTCTGATTTAAGAGTGTGGGGTCTGGTCTGGTGTGGTGGCTCACGCCTGTAATCCCAGCACTTTGGGAGGCCGAGGCAGGTGGATCACCTGAGGTCAGGAATTCAAGACCAGCCTGGCCAACATGGTGAAACTCCATCTCAAAAAAAAAAAACGTGGGGTCCTATAGGGCCCCTGGAGTGTCTAAACAGCACATCTCAGGCCATGAAGGGTATAATAAAATTATTTTTATTGCATTTTGTGCAGATGGGAGTCTAAAAAAGTAATACAGTAAAAGCCATAAAGCATTAAATGGGAGCATTCAACAATAAAGGAAAGAACCAACCCTCTCCTTTTCATATTGGCACAAAGAACACAAGATCAATACTGAGGCAGGATGCGGAATACTGAACACTTATGCTGAAAAGTAAAGGCAGGCCTAATAATCATAGTAAGAATAGTAATAAATACTCTTGATTTGGTTTGCAACCTCTCCTATTTACAAGGGTTTTCAACTTCATTGCATTGCCCTGCACATAGATCATCTAAAACAAAAGCAACACTAGTTATCACTACAAGGCTATTGAAATATTGCACTCAGAATAAAAGTCACTTGAATGGACATGAAACATCTAACTACAGTGATTATAAAGATAACTTGATGAATGACATAACATTCATAACAAATATTGCACATGTAGCACAGAAAACTTGGGTTTTTGTTGTGGGATGTCTGTTTCATCAACGGAAACTTTGCTCTTGCCAACCAGACAATCTGGGCCCAGATAGTGCAACTTTGGTTCCCTAATTGATGTTGATACAGCCCCCTTCTGCACAGCCCACCACGTTAGCCCCGAAATATTCAGGCCCCCAGAAGGCAGGACCTGGCTGTGGTTCTCAGAGGGAGGTCCATTGAAGGATGCAGGGGCCTGGCGTCTAACACCTCCAGCTTACTGATTGAGTACCTGAATCTATCCAGTCCCCTGATCTAATCTCAGGGGGACCTTGGCATAACCGGCAGACCTCCAAACCTACCCCCAGCCACACCTGACCCTGTCTAGGTGGCGCCAGCTCCAGCTCTACCTCAGGCTCAAAGGAAAAAAGGTGGTGAGGTCAGGAGTACTCAGTGGCCCCAGCTCTGGGAGGTGAGTGAGATGTCTAACTAGGTACGCAGGTCAGGGCCCTGGGGCTGGAGGTACTGTACCCAGTCCCAGATGGTGCTGGAACGAGCATGCAGTGCCTGTCCCCCTTAGTAACGTGCCCTAGGGGAAGGGAACCCGGCCACCGCGCCTTCTCTGAGGACAGTATGCCTCAGACCAGGCTGGTGGAGCGGAAGCGCCAAGGACGAATTGGGGAAGCCAAAGGCCCTGGGTCCTACAGGAGAGCACACAGGCGCTAAGAACAAAGCGCGTGTGACTCCAGCCCTCCCGCAGGCCCAGGTACCCCGGGAGACGGAGCTAGAGGCCGCTGCTAAGCAGCAAGGCCCGGCCCCAGAGCACAGAGAAGGAGTCTGCCAGTTGGGGACGGAGGAGGGAAAGTCAAGGGCGGCGCCGGGGCCTCCCAGCAGGTCGGCCCCCTAAACCAGAATGGGCCCCCTCCTCCCGACCTGTCCCAGGGAGGAAACTCCAGGGAGGGGGCGCCCTCCAGCTCCATAATTTCAGTCTTTGGCGAGGAGCCATGAGATACGGGGAGCAGGCGACAAGCCGACTGAGGAGAGACGCCTGCTTCCCAGCAAAGGCACCGGGGCGGGGCTTCCTCGGCGGGGCGCGGGCCTCTCGGTTTCTTCCCGTTGAGGAGCGCCCCTCCCCAATCCTGGCCCCAACTTGCATAAGAGCCGATGAGAAGAGGTTGCGCGTCTCTGCAGCCGCAGTGGAAGCTCACATTCGCTGGGAGGCGAATCCAGGAAAAGTTGGACCCTTGTCTCACCTCATCTTGGAAAAGGACTGGCAGGGAGAGTGGGAAGCCAAGGGCGCGGGAAAGGGCGAAGAGGCGAGAGCCGGACAGGGGTGTGGAGGGACCAGGACCACGACCCCCGCCTGGGCCTAAATCACTTTTGCTCTCAAACTCTTGGACGTCAAGGAAAACTCAGCTTCCCGAGGCCTCCGCCTCCCCGCAGTGCCCCCAGCGGGAGAGCTCGACTGTGGCGAGAAGTCTGTTGCGCTTCTAGTCACATAAATATGGGGACGTTAAAAATACACGCGATGTCTCCTGTACACTATGTATAGGCTCGGCCGCCCGCGCCCCGCGGCTCGGCGAGAAGGGGCGGCGGAGACGGCAAGCGCCGCCTTCCCACCCCGCGCGCCTCCGGGAGCCGGAGGAGCGCAGAGCGAGGACCGCGGCGGGCAGGCGTGGGAAGGGGAAGAATGGGCCGCATGGACTACCTGGGGGTCCCCAAGGCCCCAGCTCCTCTCCTTTCCACGCCTCCTCCCAACCTTTATTGCAGCGTCTCCTCCGAGAAGACAAGGCCGGGCTTAGAAAAAGGGCAGCGCGGACCCACAGGCCAACCGGGCACTGAGGAGCTCTGGTCTCCGCGAGGCGGGGTGCCCTCTCCGAGTCAGCCCCCACAGGCGTGGCCTCCAGGCTTCAGGCAGTGGGGTAAGGGACCAGGGCACGGGCACAGGGTCTGTATGTAAACGGTGACAGCGGCGGGGGGGCGCGGCGAGGGCTCCGGAGCCGCGGCGAGGGCGCACTTGGGCCCGGGTGGCAGGTCCTGGCTCTCAGGAGTAGATGGTGATGACCTCGCGGCCGCCGCCGCGGACCAGCATCACCCGGTCCAAGTGCTCTGTGAGGACCTCGAGGAATTCCATGTCTGTGAGCCGGTCAAGGAGAAAGACCCGATCTCCTTCCCTCCCGATGAAATTCGGGTAGCGCTAGGCTGCCAGGGGACCTCTCGCGCCCGTGTCCCCGTCCGAGGTGCTGATCCGGAGGCAGAAACAGTTCAGCAATTCCATCCCAGGGACAGGACCCAGCTTCCCTGACGTCCACCTCCCTCTTTCCCCCAATTTTAATTCCAGGATACAGTTTTCATCACCATTACGGTTGCGGGGAGGCCCAGGCATGTTGAGCAAAACAAGCTTGGCGTCCCGGGATTTCTTCACGATGACCTCGTTCAGCCGCACGGCCGTGTGCATGCGCCGCACATTGGACTGGTTCCTGCGGAAGGAGGGAAAGGTGGAGAGTACGTGAGCCTGAAGAGGGAAGATTGAAGCCAGTCGCCCTTCCAGCCCTAACTGGGCTGCTGGGGCGTGGTTCTTGCAAGCCCAGGACCACCAATCCTAAACCTCTCCAAGCTAGGCTACTCAGAGATCCCAGAGGTCGCGGCACCAATCAAGGGCTCACAATAGAGTGAGGAGGGTAGGGAACCCTGGCCATCCTAGAAGAGAGAATGAAAAAAATGCTGAAGCACTTACAAGTTCTCCCACTCCCTTCAGGAAACACAAGAGATGCAAAAAGAAAAGAAAAAGAGCAGAATCAGAAAAAGAGGAAGACACTGGGGGCTTGGGCCATGGTCATCTGCCCTGAGTCCTGCTCTGCCAGCCCCCGCACCCTTCATCTGCAACTGGGAATTCTGAGCCTTAGCAAACAGGGCCCAACACCCTAAGTCCTCAGATGGGGAAACCAAGACAATGTCTGAGCTGGCTCTGCAGGCTGCCAGACCAGGATGCCTTCTGCCCTCTTGCTCTGTCATGGGGAGCAGGACCCTTCAGCTCACCCCAGCCCTCAGCCCTTAGCCCCCAGGCCCATACGGCTTCATGCTGAAGAAGTCCTTGATGCCCTCAGAGGAGACAGGACTGGGACCCTTATTCTTCTCTGCCACCGACTTGTCCTTGGTCCAGGTGAGATGCACCTTCTCAGGATCTGTCTCCCCCTCCCCCTCAGGCTCCTCCCCTGGGGAAGGGGAGCTGCTGGGGCAGCTGGGAGCACTCTGATCATGGATCAGCTGCACCTGAGGGATGAATGAAGAGATGGCAGGTGAGTCCTTTGGAGGCCGAGGGCTCTGCTCCCACTGGCTGGGGCCAAACCACCCCAGCTGCACACCTCCTCCTCTGGCTTCTCTTCGCTGTCACCAGCTGTCTCTTCTGGGACATTGAGGCGGAGCCGCGTATTGGCTGGATTCTTTCTCCGGATTGAGCCTCGTGACTCATCTGTGATACTCTGGATCTAGGGAGTGACATGGGTTGTTGCCAGCTCTGCTGAGAGTCACCACCCATGCCCTGCAAAGAGCTATCACTAGAGATGATGTTCAGCCAGGATGCACTTTCTGGAACTGTACCAGTTGTTAAAATATTGCTATAATTTGAGACCAAATAGCTATTGCACCACTGATTTGCCTGCCCCAGCTCCTCTCCAGAACCCCACCTCCCTACCATCTGGCAACAAAAGGGTTAACCTTGGCACAGGAAGGTTCTGCCCTAGCACTATGGTCCATTGTCAGTCCTGACAGTCCACCGGTCAGTGCCCATGCCATGTTTTACCGTTTTTACTACCTCCCTTGGATAACACTCCCAGCCTTGGAGGATCCATCCTTCCCAGCTCAAAGTACCCATCACTCATTCCCCTGAGGATCCATCAGCCACATTCTGAGAAGGGTATTACCCACCCTGGGAGACTCAAATCCATGGCTCTGTTACCCTCACCTGTAGGACTGCCACCCATTCCCCAGACAACTTATCACCCACCTCCAGGAGCCCTTTGGTCCCCAGCTGGGGTAGCACCACTCATTTTCCCAAGGACTCCACTCCCTCAGGTGAGTCTTTCATCCGTACTCTGGTGTCTCACATCACCTACACCTAGGAGATCTTCTGCCCACATCCTGTGAGGGGCTCATCACCATTACACCTGAGGCCCCATCAATCACACCCTAGGGGATTTGCCCCTAACTCCCATGCATCAGTTATATCCCTAAATACCCATCTGTTACCCACTCTCTGAGGGTTTCTACATGAGCCCTTGTCCCTCACACTGCCAGCCCACACCCCCGAGGACTCTTCATCCACACGTATTTAGCATTCACTCTTCTCTCTCAGGACCCAGAAGTCACATACATAGGAGAAGCTCTGTCATGCCAAAGTCCCTCTGCCTCCTGGCTGGGAGGTTGGCAGGTGAAGCTGCAGTGTGTACTCCCACTGTCAGGGAAATCAGTGTCAGGAGGTGTGGTTTGGGAATCAGAGAAATGAGGGTGAAGGTAGAAATGCAAGGAGTGTCAGCCTTGAGCCATTGTAAATCTGCAGACCCAGAACTGACAGCAGTTTGAGACTCTCAGGGCCAAGCCAGGACAACCTCACCTCCCGCTCCCGCTCGTTCTTGGTTAAATGCATCTGTTTGAGGATCTGGGAGCGCTGTTCCATCACCAATGTCTTCTCATAGGTATAAGCAGAGATGTCGCTCTCATGCTGTGGGCAAACAGAGGTTGGGGTTGGGGGTGGGGAGAGGGACAAGGAGGAAAGCATGAGGTCTGAGCCCCGGTGAAAAGCCAAAGTAAGGAAGCCAGGCCCCCTTCCTTCTGGCAACCTAGGGCTTCCCTACCCAGTCATTAATTTCATCAAGGGTTGTGAGAGGCAAGGATGGAGCAGAGAGGGCAACGCTCTTGTAAAGCAGGCAGCTGATTCCCTCCTCAGCCCAGCACAGGACCAGGCATGTGAATGGATGAACTAATGAATGAGTGGATTAATTAATCACCTGGGTGAATGGAGAAGGGAAAGAAGAAAAGGAACAAAGGGATGAATGGATACATGCATGAATGAATGGGAGAGTGAGTGAATGAACACTTCAATGAATACATGGGTAGATTAATGAATACATAGAGGGATGGGTGGATGGATACATGAATTGAAAGGATGGTTGGACAAGAGGTTCTATAGGATAATCACCAGGGGCACAGACCCTAGAGCAGCCTACCTCGGTTTGAATCCTGGCTCCACCATATACTATGTGTTATTGGGCAAATTACAGTCATATACCAAATAACACCATTGTATGTGTGTCAATGGCAGACTGCCCCTAAAATGGTGGTCCCATAAGATTAGAGTGCTGCATTTTTGCTGTATTTGTTTAGATATGTTTAGACACACAAATACTTCCCACTGTGTTGCCATTGTCTACAGTACGCAGTACAGTAACATGCTGTACAGCTTGCAGCCTAGGAGCCATAAGCCTATGTGTGTGGTAGGCTGGACAATCTAGTGTGTATAGGCACACTCTGTGATGTTCACACAACAAAATCACCTAACAGCACATTTCTCAGAACACATCCCTTTGTTAAGCAATGAAGGCATGACTGTACTTAACTTCTCTGTACTTCATCTTCCTAATCTGTAACATGGAAATGCTGATAAGTGTATCTATCTCACTGGTTGTTGTTGGAATTGATATACATATGAAGTGTATAGAACAGGGCCCTGCATATAATAAGCACTACTAGACATGGCTATTTTTATGAAGAAGAGCAGGGTAGCTGAATATGTGAGAGGCTAAGAGGTGGCCCAGGGGAAGGGATCCAGCATCATAAGCTGACGGGTGTTAGAGTTGCCCTACTTGGTGCTGGGGCCAAGAGGGCCAGGTGGAACCCCAGTGGCATCATCTCCTGAGGACTCACCATCTCCACCACCTCGACCTCTGCAGTGATGCGTAAATGGTACAGAAATGTGGTCAGATCCTTCTTCATCTGGATGCTATTGTCGTCCATCTGGGCCACAGTGAAGATGCGCATCTTGCACTTCCGCCACACCTGCAGGTGGTGAAAGGGATCCAGAAAGGTCCAGCCCAGATGCGATGAGGAGATCCAGGGCCAGACCCCGTCCCCTCACTCTTCCCCTCTTGCCACCCACTCCTCACACATACATGCAGACCCCAAATCCTCTGTCTTGGGGGCTGGCTCTCTACAAAACCTTCCCTGCTTAAGTCTGAGGGTCCCCCATTAAAAAAAAGCATCACTGGCTCAGGCTAAGCATTGCTCTCTTTAGAGCAGTGTACCTGCCAGAGGAGACAACATCAGTTCCTAAATCTCAAAATGAAGGAGGTAAGCAGATCCCTTTCCCAGGAGCTCGCAGGGGAGGAAGGACAGGGAAGCTGACCCTGGCCAG